GACATGTGGTTGGGTCAAAGGGTGGGTAAGGATTTCTGTTTGGCTGAGGACAATGCTCAGCCTTCTTCTCAACTAAACCTGTTGAAGAATGTGTTCAGCTCATTTGCTCTGTCCAGATTTTCATATATTTTATCTTTTTGCTTGAAGCCTATTGTTTTCTACATCCCTCACCACGCATATCTGATAATATTCCTTTGCATGGTTTTCTCCAACCTTTTCCAAGTACTTATCAGTCTCTACTCTAGATTTTGAGATGTTTCTTTTTTTAGGTAGCTTGTCTTAATTCCAGTCACCAGTTAACCAGACAGCAGGTCTTAATGTATTTTGGATCCAAAGATTTTTTTTCAGAGATGCAGTCTTCTACTCACCCAGCGAGATAAAAATGTTCGCACCTGTGTTCTGACTAATGCGACCTGCAGAGAGCTGTAAGCAAAGGGGGAGAAACACTGCTTCTCACTGAGTTTTGTAGCTGGATATAATGTCAGTTGGATTTCACCTGGAGAGCGCCTCTTTCATGGGAACTGTCATGAAAATTGGTTGATACTGTGCATTCTGAAATTCAGAGATTTTTTTTTTTAAGTCTAATTTTTTTGTTTTTTTTTTGTAATTGACCATAACGCCCAGTACCATGGTAATGGGCATTATGAACCAGTACATGGTTCATAACATTCTGGGCATTATGGCCTTGTGAAATTAACAAGGATGTCTATTGAAGATAAGATTGGCTACTCTCTTAAGTATTTCTACTTCTGATCATTCTATTTTACAATGTAACGATGATCTTTAAATAAAATGAAAATGGCTTTGTAAGAAAGCAACAATTATCTCTTCAAAGTTATCGCTGAGGGCTCTGTACTGTAGCATTGTGTCAACACACACCTCTATCCTCACACAAATGATTATCACTTGATCTGTACACTTGATCAGTAACATCTGACCACTATCTCTGCTACATCACAATGAAGCAACAAGAGAAAACCTTTGCAGGACTACAGATTGGGTTTTAGTGAGATGAGGTGATAAATCAGTGGAAAATATTCCTGAAAGCAGAAAATAGGTTTGCTCTTGCAAACGTTCTCCAAGGGTTGATTTGGTGTTCTGTAAAAAAATTAAATAAATAAAATGTAAATAGAACAACAACTTTTTCTAGAAAAATATTGTTTTTCCCCTAAAGTCAAAAAAACATTTAACAGTCTTTGCAAGATTTCTTAGTGTTCAGCCACAGCAAGGATTCTTGTTTATTTACTTGTTTCCTTTTTGAACCTGAGCTTTGTTGGCTTTTATTTTCTCTTTGTTAGGATATGGTAATTACTTAAGTATCACAATTCCAGTTTTATAAAAATCTGCTGGAGAGAAAAGACATGGCAATGGAAGATTTAGAGTGCACACGTTTCCCATTCAGTAGAACAAAAATTAAAAAAAACTGAAACCAGTGACTGACAAAATCTCAAGTCCCTGTCATTCTGCTCACCTTTTATGTTCTATAAATTCCTTTATGCCCAGTGGTGCATTTTTGTTTGCTGGCAGACTTCCTTTCAGTTCACATCTAAAGTCCATCTGCATTGTGTTGGTGAGTTCTGAACACAAAGTTTGTTTAGCTTCACTGGAATACAGGGACTGTGAGTTTAAAGCTTAGAGAGCATTATTTAAGCAGGTAAGTGTCTGCAGCTGAATAGCAGAATGCCCAGCCTCTATAGTTTGGTATTGATCCTCAGTGGCCCATCCTAACCTGACTGGAAGGAGCTTTGAGGATTTACAACCATTGGAATCTCCTGGTAACAGGATCTTTAAAAAAAAAAAAAAAAACACACACAAAAAGACACCAGAGGTGAGATCACTTTCAGACCTCTGCTCTGCTATCAAACAGAACATTTGCAGTTAATTTTGCTTTTGTAGATTTTTTTTCCTAAACCTTTATTAAAAGCTGTCATCCTCATCAAAACTTCAAAGCTTAAATTAGCTCTAAATGAGCCAGACTTGATGTGCGAACACACCACCGTTCACTTAACCTGTGGGTTAGGAGTGAAAAATACTCTAAAGCTCAATAAAAAGTGTCTCAGCATGCTCCACTCTGACCCCCTTGGATGGAGCTAGCAGAAAGGAGGTTGTCTGGCATCAAAGGAGTAAATTAACAGCAAGCGTCAGACAGCAGCTGCTTCCCCCTGCTCCCCGAGACCTCCAGAATATCCATCCATACATATGTATGCCAACAAGATTACATCCTCTGCAGCCGTCCAGATGCTCTTGCTGCCGTGATGACACGCAACACGATCTGCTGCCTGTTTCTGTCTCCTCGTCCATCAGGCATCCGGCTTGTTCTGCATCCTCCTACACGGCAGCCATGCACAACATGCATCACCTTGCTGACAGTATGTGAGGAGGGAGCCTCTGCAGCCAGGAGTCCCGCTGGTGCCAGAACACGATTACCATCCAGCCGAGTCACAGGATGAAACCGCTGGCTCCAACAGGCTTTTACAGGCAGATCAGTAACACTAGATCAGGAACAGATTATTTAAACACAAAAAGTGGTGACTCTTGAAAAATACAATTTTGACTTATTTTCACTGTCAAATGAAAAATTTTGAAGTCACATTGTCATGTCACACTGGACTATAACATCTTTTGATTACCAACCCCAGTTTGAGACTGGTTCCATGATAGTCTAGTCATTCTGATCTCCATTCAAACCTTTGTCCAATATATTCATATACCTTCTAATAGTTTATAATAACTGACTCCAAACTAAGCGCTTGATCCTCTGACTTCAGCTTTATACAATATTTACAAGTAAAGTAAATATATTTATTTGTGGTTATTTTGTTGTTAAGACAGCAATCACTTCTTAAAGTGGGGAATCTTAAAACAGGTGAACTATAAAACTTGGAAATGACATACTTGGGTTTGAATGCCTACTGAATTTTACACTACAGTGCTACTTTGACCTACAGTATCTGATAAGTGTGATCAGATTCAGTTTACAGTCATTAACAGTTATAAAATAAGAATGAATTACAATTTCAAGTTTTGTTATGTGTTTAAACACTGATTAACAAATTTATTTTCTTTAGTTATTGTCAGGAAAACTAATATCGGATAGGTACAGCAGTAACAGCGACAAAATGTTTGTAGTAAAAATGTATTTATTAGAATGACAAACATTCAACCAGTCAGTCGACAAGTATGGAAAATTGATACTGTGACTGTCTAATCTCAAGGAAATATTTTTGTAAATAAAAGAAGAAAATATAGAATATAAGGAAACATGGGAAAAGACAGGACAGGAGGGTTTTTGGAAAAGCGTTCACACTCCACATGAAAAACTAAAGTGTATTTTTATATACAAGGAGAAGAGAAGGTGCTCTGTTTGGCTATTTGGCTGTATTATAATATTTTTCTTACTATGATTTTGCGTGCAAGGACTTGCTAAGAATAAAATTCATTAGCATTGGAAGGAAACACTGTAATGACACAGTTTGTAAAATACCTAGATTATATGTTAACTAGATAAATATTGACGTTTCAAGACAAATATATTATGTTTTACCTTATGATACTAGCAGTTAATCACCACATAGATCATGTATTTACTATATATTTAAACCACTCTACTGTTTATTTTAACAAGAGATAACTTTAGCGTACAGATATACTACATGTGTAATTTACACAAAAAATAATAAAAAATGCATAATATGATGTAAACGAGTTTATATACAGAAATACAACCTGTGGTCCGTCAGCTGACAGTAACCATAATAAAAGGGATGTTTGGCATACTATCGGCTTTCCACATTATAAGTATCTGAATTTCTTATAGCCACTAATATTTCCATGCGACCAAATTTGCGAGCAAGGGAAAGTGTAAAAGCCTAACCAGCTCATCAGCAGGTTGCTACAACTACTGAGGAAGCAGTTCATTCTTTCATTTCTTATCTTGTTCAGGCCATATTGTTCAGAAATGTGAGTCGTTTTGGAAGTAAAACCTTCGGTGTACCTAGAAAACAGTAACTGGTCCAAAGCTATTAGGAAGTTCTTCAAAAGTTTCCTCAAGCTACTTGTATTTGTTTGTTTCTTTTCCGCTCATGAGATTCCCAACACACACGCGGAGAAAGGGGATGATGTATATGAGGAAGCCAGCGGGTTTTACCAGAGTCGACACAAAAAGAACGACAAGCAGAGAGCATTTAGAGTTGAGGGAAATAGAGGGAAACGCCCTCCAGCGGAGAGACTGTCCACCTCCCCTCCATTCCACCTTCACCTCGGCCGTGTTCCTGCTGTCTGTTGCTGCGGCAATGGTGGAAGATAGGGGCTGCCAGTCGACGGCCAGTGGGAGGATTAATCGCCGGCGGATGGTGAGGCATCTGCTGCTTGCCCGCCACCAACTGCTGCTGAAACATGATTAAATGTCCTCTTCCAGCTAACACGTGGCGGCACCATGGCTTCTTTTTGCCTCAAAAAGTGTCTATCTCACTCCTACTCCACTTCTTTCACTTCTTTCAATCTGTATCTGCAAAATGTCTGCCTCTGACTGCTGTTCTACTTCTTACAAGTTTATTCATTTTTCTGATTGTACTCATTAATTAACTGACCACTAGAAATGCAGCTTTTCTCAGAAAGGACCATTAAAACAGTCTACAAACTGTTGGATCTCAGGTCTTTACCGGTAGGAGATGTAGCCTTTTTGATGTCTCTGACACCTTGTCACAGAACTGGCTCTATGCTGAAAGTCAAGATTGGCTACAAACAAGTGCGATGCACCTAAAAATGTCACCACGTTATTTTGGTTGGTTTATAATTTTGAAATATTGTCATATATAATTTATTCTATTTTTTTCCATAAATGAACAAATTATATTTTGTTTGCATTTTGTCATGGTAATCTGCCTACCTTTAGTAGTTTGCTGAGGTTGGGATGGGAGCAGTTATGGCGAAGCGGAACCTTTGCTTTGGGGGCGTTGCTTGTGGGTTGGTTTTGGGACGGACTTCCTGTTTGCCTCAGACGCCATCTAGATGCTAAAAGCAGCGCTTCGGTCGTCATTAGTGACGTATTTTTCAGGTTAGTAGATGGTAAAAACACACCAAACCTCCTCTGTAAGACATGTACCTCTTATTTGATCAGTAGATAGCAATGTGTTAAGTTTTCTGTACACCTTTCTGCTGATCTTTGTAACATTTATCAGCCAAGATTGGCAGGATGCCAACCCGTGGCAGGCACGTCTGCATTGGGTTAGATGATTAAAATACCCTAATATCTTACTCACTCTGGGTTTTAGGAGTTTTATGTTTGCTTTTGGTTGAATAATATTCAATATGTGTTACTTGGTGACTCATAAAGCAGCTTAGAGCCTGAGAGTAAAGTGAGTTCAGCTGAAGTTAAAGGTAGAGAAACTATTTTTTGTTCATGAAGTGTGGGAATTTAGAGGTTAAGTGAAGGATGGCAACGTGCAAAAGATAAATGTGAAGTCAGTTATTACTTGTGAGAAAAGTAAACAGGGTTTATAAAACAAAGGTTGTGCATGGCATCAATGTTGTACATTGTAAAAATGTTTGTTGGTTAACAAACAAATCTGACTCAATCTGGTTGCTAACCAGTTGCTTCGGTTATCATTGCTGAATCCTGCTGTACTATTCTTCAAGTTGTGCACATTACTGTTACAGCAGTCCTGACACTGGGGTCCTGTAACACTACAGTTCATACATTTTTCGTTTGGTTACAATAAAAAGTTGGTTTAACTGTATTTCATTGATTTCCAACTAAAAGCCATCAAGCAGTATTTCAGCCTAGAAAAAGCTTGCAAATTGGAGATCAAGTGATTTCAGAGTCTAATAAAGTACTTTGTTAAAAATTTAATTCTGAGCTCTGTGGGAATCTGATACAAAGCAGTAAATCTACTTATTTGTATTTTTCCATGATAGTATTTTGCCCTAATGATCTTGCTTTACTCTGATAGCTTTTTATGGTCTTGTCTTTTTACTAATCTCTGTTTAATTTTAAGGTTTAAGTAGATCTTTTTCCAGTTCAGTTTCCTCTGAGTCCAAAGACATGTTTTGAACTAATAATAGATGTTCATTTTGAGTTCATCTCCAACTTTGCACTCTTTATAACTTAGCTCTCTTTTTTTTTTTGTTAATTTCTTAAATGTATGCACATAACCTCTGTAAGTCTGTAAGCTTTGAGAGGTTGTGGAGATTCAAGCTGCAAGTTTTTGAAACTTTTTTAAAAATGAGCGTTTCTAAAGAGTTGTAACTGAAGATGAAAGGTTATTAGGGACATTAGAACGCCTTATTTATATGTGACATAGTAGGGCTTTGACACAAAGGGACTGTGATCATGCTTACCTATCAGCTTGTGTCTCATCTCTGATAAAGAGACGCAGATCCAGTCTGCACTAGATATGTAAATGTCTCTCAGAAACAGCCCTGCAGCAACTCCTGCTGTCGGAGTCTAAGGGTCTCGGTCATCCTCCGAACACAACATGTTCCTATTTGTTCTGACTGGTTGGATTCTGCTCTCTGAAGCTTGACACCCTCTGAACTGTCGGCTGCTTCACCTGCAGAGAGTCTCTCTGTTCTTGGCAGTCAGCAGCCTGGAAGAGGCTTACAAATTCACAAACACTCATTTTCGGCTCAAAACAGCTTTCACGTAAAATCTGCCCTATCTCTTGGAGTAAGTGGTTCTTGATTACAAATGTCATCAAAATTTTCTAATTAAATCTATTTGGTCTGCGATTGGTTGGAGACTGATGCCTCAAGAATATGAATGTCCCTTAAATGTAAAGCCATGACACTAGCTGTAAGATGTTTTTATTCAGAGAATTTCAAATATCTTGTCTTGTTCACGTTATTGGTAGAACGTAACATAAAATAGATGGATGTACTAGAGCCTTACAAGCATTGATGCAGGTGCTGCTTTGCTCTGTTGTTGTGAATAAAGAGTTGACCCAAAAGGTGAAGCTCATGATTTAGTTCTCCATCTACATTCTGACCCTTCTCCATGGTCATGAGATATGAATAGTGAAAGATCGAAATCCCAGACACATGCTGCTGAAATGAGCTTCTTCTGTAGGGCTGTTGGGCTCAGCTTTAGAGATAATTTGAGTAGATTTCTTTTCCGGGAAGAGCTTGGAGTGGAGTAGTCGCAAGAGACAGTTGAGGTGGTTCAGGCATTTGATCAGTATGCTTCTGATGTGTCCATCTTCTAAAGTTTTGTGGACACATCCCACTGGAAGGATGCCCTGGTGTAAACCCAGAACATTCTGGAGGGATTACATTTCTCTAAAGAGTGTTACTGAGTAGATGGATGATGGTGTTTCCCTACTGGACCTGATTTTGGATGTGGCTGGAAACATTAAGAATTGTGCATTGCCGCACAATTGACTTAATATGTTGCAGCCAACAACTCAAAAATAAGCCAAAAGGTAGTACTGGTCACCAGTTTTTTTATTAACATTTTTTTTTTAATGTACATATATTATTTTTAATATATCTGACATTTATTAATTTGCTTAATTAGTATAATAAAACAATGTCTCTTGCTAATGTCTTCTGAGTAAATTGAACTTATGGCTTATTGTATGTCTTTATTTCAATCATGCTTACAAGTTTTGTGTGGAATAGACACCTCTGCTTTGCCACTCTGGAGGTAATCTGTCAGAAATGGGCCCCTGCAGCTGCAAGTGACAGATAAACAGAAGTAAGTTTTCACAGCAGCCTTTGAGAAGCTAGTTCTCACAGTCTCTCGCATTTTTGTACTTCTGCTATCCTGGGGTACGTAAGATGTTCTGAATTCTGTTGGTCCAGGCTGACACTCTGTCTTTTGCTCTCATCTTGAACATGATTCCAAATAAACCTGACTGAGTACTTTTCATCTGAAGAGTGCTTGAATAATTATTTTTTTTCCACAAAACACATCTGTGTGAAAAAAAATATTGCTATGGTAAATAGTTGTCAAAATTCCATCAAGGATTGCATCACTTAAGTCTTTGTTTTGCAATATGTACTGTATGTGAACTTAGTTGGAGAGCAATGCTTGATATTATCTGCATTGCAACAACTGAGTTACACACATACTCCAAAATTAGGTGATTTATAAATTCACACTCATGTCAAAAAACGAGTGTGAACTTTGTGAGCCAAGGATGTGGGAATTATTGTGAGAATAACAGCAAGAACAAGGGACACAATTTCATTTTTTTTTAATTAACTGCTGGGTAGCAGCATAACTACAGGAATAGCTCAGGATAACCCAAGCCGTTTAAGACAAGTTTTAAACATTGTCTTAAAAGTAGACAGGAGTAAACTGACCAAAACTGGGTGCAGTCTGAGAGCAAAGTGCTCTGTTCTGAACATATACAATAATAGGATCTCTGATCTATGATATAACCTGATTATTAAGGGCTTCATATGTGAGAAAGTGAATCTGGATTTACCAGAGAGTCAATAAAAGGAAGCTAAAATAGATGATTATGATCCCTCCTGGTAGTATTAATATCACTTCAGATTTAAACCTGATAGTGTAAGATTCAGTCTGTTTCTTTAGGTAGAAAGATTGCCAATAATATGAACTTGTTGGATAAGTTTGTCCATTTAGTGAAATATGCGAATGATACACAAAAGAGTGTAGGTGTTCCTGCTTTTTGAAAGAATCATCAGAGTAAATTCATGTCGAATTCTGGCGCGCTGACAGCCCTCAGATTTCATTACAATCTGCCGTTTCCTGCACAGAAGGCGGCCAAGGACAAGCTCCTTCGACGTCTTCATGTGAGTATGAAATAAACACTTTTTACAGAGAACCTTGAGAACTTCTCAGAGAGCCAGAAGACTTGTTTTATGACTTTGTCCTTGTCTGAGTGGAATGTCTTCCTCACTGCAGAAGCACCTGCCACATCGAGGTCAGCACCTCTAGCAGCCTCCACGGCATCAAAACCTTCGAGCAGAAACACAAAGAGGCAAGAGAACATCCTGAGAAGAGGATTAAAGTCCATCCTTCTGAAACTTGTTTTGGATCCAGGTTCAGAGAATCTCAACAGTGAAACAGAATCGCACCACTCGGCAAAGACAAGGGAGGAAATATATTTTAAAATCTAAATAAATCTCAAATTCTCTGACATGGGTCTCTTATCTTTCTATTAACAAGATTAAAGCATAGAAGACAGAACAGAAACAAATTTTGCAGAATATACTGAAATTAAAACTAATTAGTAAAACAAGACTATTTATGAACATTTTACTAGGCCTTAGGAAGAACATTTCTAGTGAACATTGGAGTGAAGGTCAGTCCGGGAGCTGCTGTCTCTGAACAGAAAGCACACACGAGATGGGCAAATATTTAAGAGACTGACATTTGACTGATTTAAATCCACACTGCCTGTGTTCATTTAGGTTATTAAATTTGAGAACCTTTTCAACACCACTTTAATGAAATGTAGGAACAAATTTATTATAGACCGTCCTTAAACAGGATTTGTTCGAGAATCTGACATTTTCTGGAGAAATCTGCAGTCATTAAGCAACTATGTTTCTCAGCTTTAAAAATCCCTTTCAGCACATTTTACAGTGTCATTGCTTTTTACTTTTGTAATGTTTCCATGTCTTTTCCCAACACTTAAGCCACATTTTTAAACGTGGTCGATAAGGCAGCATATGCTGCTATGAAATTAGTGTGGGATTTTTCTGCATAAGCACTGCCATCACAGAAATAAAGATGAGCTTTGCCAAGGACACTCTTACAATACCATCATCGAATGTGACTCCAGAAACTTGATGCTGACCACCCACTCTTTCTACTAATTGTTCTATTTCTTACTGACCTATCTCATTGTAAACCATATTCATACTGTGTGATGGTTCAAGATACCTCTGAATCCAGAAAAGTGGACGCCATCCTAGGATTAATTTAATATCAGGCTTATGTTCTACACGCTTAAGCTTGAAGTGTACCAGCGATTTTAAATAGAAGTCACAGCCGTACATGTTAGACTTGCCCTCTGAAATTTTTTCAGATTCCAAACAGGAAAAATTACAATGGAATAAAACTACCTTTTTCTACCCAGTTGTTTTGTCTAAATTTGGTTTGTATTTTTGATTAATTACCTCTGCTTTAGTGTTTGGAGCTTGTAAAATCTCAAAATGGCTTGCAGGAATCTGTAGACCAAAGTTTACATTCCTGGACATTTGTTTCTGAAAAGCAACCTGCTATCAAAAGTGCTTAATTCAAGCTGCAGGTAATTAACCTTCCTTGCGATAGATGGATGAATGCATATATAACGCTGGTGTTTGTAATAATTTACTGGCAATTTTTACAGTGTCTGTGTGTCTCTGCTGTCAGTCAGTTGTGACGTGCTCTGAATCTGAAGCGACTGTAGTGTCACAGAACAGAGCAGAGCGGAGCGGGTTTCAACCTTTTTGCTGTTGTGATTGTCATAATGAGCAGTGACTTGAGGCTGCGATGTGTCAGAGGTAAACATTCGTATTTGGAAGGGTGAAAGCTGTTTCTGCTGTCCTCCATCTTAAATCTCTGAGGATCTGAGTGAGCAGAAACCTTCTCTTTCTTTTTCTATTCGTTCATCATACCTGCCTGCCTTCCTTTTCCTTCGTCTTCTCTTTGCATCTGCAACATTTGCCACTGGCATCACCGGCATCCGCTTTCTCTCATCCCACTCCATGGTCGGATGGCGCCCCCCAGAGGTTGAATTTTCAATTTCATTTCAACTTCTCCTCCTGCTGCAGCAGCATGGGGCACATCATGAATATTTCACCAGGCTTAACTCCACTTAAAATATGCATTCTAATTGGGCCTAAGTGCCGCAGCTCGGCTCTAAGTAGCTTTCCTAATTTTTCCCTCCACTTTCCTCTCTAACTGGCACGTTTCATATGCTTCATGGCTTTTCTTAATGTTCCGTACTGATCTGGTACCACTGCTTCTCTCTGCTGAATTTAGGTGAAGTTGTGTGGTACAACATCGGGGTACAGGGGAGCCAGTGATCCACCTCACTTGAGCATTTCAAAGGTTTTGAGTTAAAGTCATCTCTTTCTGAAGCCTTTGCCTCCTACTATTTAAGGTAGTGTTGCTGATTTTTTTTTTTTTTTTGTGTTGTGATTTTTAATTACAACAGTAAAATGAAAGGTAGCAGTTTTTCTGCTTCTTTCAAATCCATTCTCCATTCATAATGATATGAGAGGAGAACTGTTCAGCTTGTCTATCTGCTTCACCCAGCTTCATTTTGACTGCATTCACTTGCATTAGGAAAAGTCAGGAGCTTAAAACACTTTTACTTCTTTACTCATAGATTTTTATAAACAGCCACAAACACAAAGTTCCACCATAAACACTAGTTACCCCAGAACTACATAAATAAACACATAGGGCTATTTTTGTCTTTTTGAGATATGAACTCTTTCTGCTACTTGAAAGGGCATTATAACCTTTGCAATTGATTCTTTTCATTTGCGTTATAGCTTTCAGCTAACCATAGTTACTTTCACTCACATGTCTGAAGTTGAGGAATGTGAAGAAAAATGAAAACCTGATGGAAAAAAAATCAAGTGCAAGCCAGCCAAGAACACAGCTGAAAGCTTCCAAATATTATTGTGCGTAAAACACAAAACTCAAAAATCAGTGCATAAGACATAAGATAGGATAGAAATAATTTTAGAGTCTCCAAGTAAAATGTACGTTTATAACACAAAGCTTTGTATGGTGATTTGTCCTGTAAGGTGGAAATGGTTTCAAAGCAGCACCTCAAGACATAAAACACCGGCACCCCACTGAAGGATTTAAATGTGATGCATGAAGAGTCACTTTTAAAAGCTAGAGGATCCTAAAGCAGTTCACACTATACCTGTATTGTGAATATGCTATGTACATATTCATACACTAAAGATGGCAAGCTACTGAATTTTAACCACAGTTTGCAGTTTGACAGAGGTGAGGCTGCCATGCACTGGTGCCACAGGGCCCAATGACGGAGCTGGGATTGTCTACCACCATCACCACTATTGCAAAATTTAAACTGCAAGTCTACTACAGACACTAAAACACAATCTCAAGGGAAATGTGAAGTGTATTTTTGTACATAAAAGTTTACTCTTTCAAATAAATCTCTCAATAAGTATTTTGTTTACTCCTGAATGTAGGGTTGTTAAATGGTGCATGCAGAGATGAGCTGAGCTCACTTTGTATGTCTCCTTAAACAGTACATTTTAAAATATCTGCTTCTAATTGTAGCTGTCTGGCAATTTAACTGTGTTTAGTATTTCTCATATCTGTTGAAATCTGCGCTATGCTATTAAGTTAGTCAGTGTTTGCTCTCTCATGCACTAATAACCTGTCTGAGCAAGGACAACCATAGTTATTCAGTAGAATGTATGTCCACATTTACATTTAGATGGTTGTGCAAATCTGTCGAACTGATCTCAAAACTAATTTTACCATCATGCTGTGAAGAAAGCAAATAATCATTCATTCACTTTCTGTACCCATCTAATCCTGATCAGGGTTTGCTCGGCTGTTTCTCTAGGTAGGCTGCATCATAAACAAAAAGCCAGCTGAGACAACCAACAATGTAAAAACACACACAGACACACACATGGATACCTGATGGCACTTTTACATCACCAGTTGGCCTATAAAGCATATTGTTGAAAACTCTTGAAAGCCCACTGAACATGTGCACAGGAGGAAAAGCTGATGGTGAAACAGAGACCTTCCAGCTGAGAGGCAATAGAGCTAACCCTGTGCAAAGTTACCATGTGTTACACTGTGCTTGAGGATATTGAATCTGCTGGCCAGCAAATGTCACAAATAAAGATTCCAGTAAACCACTGGTAGTGTGAAAGAACAAACGGAATCAATGGATAAAGACAAAAACCTGATATAAATATGGATTTATTACACTATTATGTATAAATATTTAATAAATATTCAATCTATATTAAAGTCATGTTGCATTATAGCCAAAGCTAAACACATCCAGACCTCCTGCAGACAGTCTCAGCCAGTTGCAATCCAAAACCAGAAATGTAAATGTCAGTTTGGAGAATTGTTTTTTTTCACCTTCAAGATATGGTTATCAATTTAAGTCCAGGTGGAATCTTTAAAGAAAAAAAGATTAGGTTTGGTTGAACATGGTTTATAATCCCCAAGTTAAATTTTAATGTACAAATTATTTTTTGCTGATTTCATTCTAATTGGAAATAAATGAGTTAATTAGTAACATGAATGAAATGACTTTATTCAAATTAATAATTAAAGGCTATTACTTGTTTTCATTTAGGCGTTTTCATTTTATCTGTTTTTCAAATAAAAAAATACCCAAAATAATTGAAAAAAATAAAAAATAAAGAAAGTTGAAATATCTCTCTAAAACCCAGACTGAATATTCAATGGCAAAATTAATTTTGTTGTTGCATGGCAACTCAGTTAAAACTGCAGTATGTAACTTACAAAAACATTTTCTTTGACATTTATTAAAACTGTCAGTGCAACATAAAACAAAATAATTTGTAGAAAGATCAAGCTCCTCCAAGTCGAATTGCCATCTGTAATAATTCTCCATTCCTGGTCACAAACAACAGATGACATTAAAGAGGAGTGTCTTAGGACTCCCAATCACGATTGCGTACATGCTGCTAAATGTGCCAGTGGAAAAGGAACAACTTATCGTTCCAGGAAAACCATTTATCAAACTTTCATCCTGGTCATGCTGCAACATGACTGTTTGTGATGGAGCAGACTAGAGAAAAAGAACAAAGGAACTCTTTTTCTTTTTCACAGATTGTCTCATATGAATCTGTGATAACATAGTAATAATTTTAACAACTGCATAAAGAACACATTTATGTAATAAAAGTTACATACTGCAGCTTTACATTTTAATATGTGGATCAAACCTGAAGCTTGATTTTGTCCTGTTGCTCTGGACAAAATCAGCATTTAATTGTCCTAAATGTTTCAACTGATTGTTTCTTTGTACATTTTGGCAGGAATGAGTTCTAGTAGCAGCAGAGTTTGACCATGTAATATTTTTGAAATACTGTGTTCCCCACAAGCCCACAGAT